TGAGAGTCTACCTGGGGGTGTCTCTTAGCTGTGTCTGTGTGTGGGTGTCTACCCCTGTGGCTGTGTCTATTAGCTGTGTCTGTGTGTGAATGTCTACCTGGGGGTGTCTCTTAGCTGTGTCTGTGTGTGAGTGTCTACCTAGGGGTGTCTCTTAGCTGTGTCTGTGTGTGAGTGTCTACCTGGGGCTGTGTCTGTGTGTGAGTGTCTACCTGGGGGGCGTCTCTTAGCTGTGTCTGTGTGGGAGTGTCTACCTGGGGCTGTGTCTGTGTGTGAGTGTCTACCTGGGGGGCATCTCTTAGCTGTGTCTGTGTGCGAGTGTCTACCTGGGGGGTGTCTCTTAGCTGTGTCTGTGTGTGAGTGTCTACCTGGGGACATCTCTTAGCTGTGTCTGTGTGTGAGTGTCTACCTGGGGGTGTGTCTTAGCTGTGTCTGTGTGTGAGTATCTACCTGGGGGTGTCTCTTAGCTGTGTCTGTGTGTGAGTGTCTACCTGGGGGTGTCTCTTAGCTGTGTCTGTGTGTGAGTGTCTACCTGGGGGTGTCTCTTAGCTGTGTCTGTGTGTGAGTGTCTACCTGGGGGTGTCTCTTAGCTGTGTCTGTGTGTGAGTGTCTACCTGGGGGGCGTCTATTAGCTGTGTCTGTGTGTGAGTGTCTACCTGGGGACGTCTCTTAGCTGTGTCTGTGTGTGAGTGTCTACCTGGGGGGCGTCTCTTAGCTGTGTCTGTGTGTGAGTGTCTACCTGGGGGTGTCTCTTAGCTGTGTCTGTGTGTGAGTGTCTACCTGGGGCTGTGTCTGTGTGTGAGTGTGCACCTGGGGGTGTCTCTTAGCTGTGTCTGTGTGTGAGTGTCTACCTGGTGGTGTCTCTTAGCTGTGTCTGTGTGTGAGTGTCTACCTGGGGGTGTCTCTTAGCTGTGTCTGTGTGTGAGCGTCTACCTGGGGCTGTGTCTGTGTGTGAGTGTCTACCTGGGGCTGTGTCTGTGTGTGAGTGTCTACCTGGGTCTGTGTCTGTGTGTGAGTGTCTACCTGGGGGTGTCTCTTAGCTGTGTCTGTGTGTGAGTGTCTACCTGGGGGTGTCTCTTAGCTGTGTCTGTGTGTGAGTGTCTACCTGGGGGTGTCTCTTAGCTGTGTCTGTGTGTGAGTGTCTACCTGGGGGTGTCTCTTAGCTGTGTCTGTGTGTGAGTGTCTACCTGGGGGTGTCTCTTAGCTGTGTCTGTGTGTGAGTGTCTACCCCTGTGGCTGGCTGTGTGTTTGTGTGAGTGTCTACCCCTGTGTCTCTGTGTGTGAGTGTCTACCCCTGTGGCTGTGTCTATTAGCTGTGTGTCTGTGTGTGAGTGTCTACCCCTGTGTGTCTGTGTGTGTCTACCTCTGTGGCTGTGTCTCTGTGTGTGAGTGTCTACTCCTGTGTGGCTGTGTCTCTGTGTGTGAGTGTCTACCCCTGTGTGTCTGTGTGTGAGTGTCTACCCCTGTGTCTCTGTGTGTCTGTGTGTGCGTGTCTACCCCTGTGTGTCTGTGTGTGAGTGTCTACCTTGGGGTGTCTCTTAGCTGTGTCTGTGTGTGAGTGTCTACCTGGGGGTGTCTCTTAGCTGTGTCTGTGTGTGAGTGTCTATCTGGGGGGCATCTCTTAGCTGTGTCTGTGTGTGAATGTCTACCTGGGGACATCTCTTAGCTGTGTCTGTGTGTGAGTGTCTACCTGGGGACATCTCTTAGCTGTGTCTGTGTGTGAGTGTCTACCTGGGGGTGTCTCTTAGCTGTGTCTGTGTGTGAGTGTCTACCTGGGGACATCTCTTAGCTGTGTCTGTGTGTGAGTGTCTACCTGGGGGCGTCTCTTAGCTGTGTCTGTGTGTGAGTGTCTACCTGGGGGCGTCTTTTAGCTGTGTCTGTGTGTGAGTGTCTACCTGGGGGTGTCTCTTAGCTGTGTCTGTGTGTGAGTGTCTACCTGGGGGTCTCTCTTAGCTGTGTCTGTGTGTGAGTGTCTACCTGGGGACATCTCTTAGCTGTGTCTGTGTGTGAGTGTCTACCTGGGGGCGTCTCTTAGCTGTGTCTGTGTGTGAGTGTCTACCTGGGGGTCTCTCTTAGCTGTGTCTGTGTGTGAGTGTCTACCTGGGGGGCATCTCTTAGCTGTGTCTGTGTGTGAGTGTCTACCTGGGGCTGTGTCTGTGTGTGAGTGTCTACCTGGGAGTGTCTCTTAGCTGTGTCTGTGTGTGAGTGTCTACCTAGGGGTTTCTCTTAGCTGTGTCTGTGTGTGAGTGTCTACCTGGGGGGCGTCTCTTAGCTGTGTCTGTGTGTGAGTGTCTACCTGGGGCTGTGTCTGTGTGTGAGTGTCTACCTGGGGCTGTGTCTGTGTGTGAGTGTCTACCTGGGGAGCATCTCTTAGCTGTGTCTGTGTGTGAGTGTCTACCTGGGGCTGTGTCTGTGTGTGAGTGTCTACCTGGGGCTGTGTCTGTGTGTGAGTGTCTACCTGGGGGTGTCTCTTAGCTGTGTCTGTGTGTGAGTGTCTATCTGGGGGGCATCTCTTAGCTGTGTCTGTGTGTGAGTGTCTACCTGGGGACATCTCTTAGCTGTGTCTGTGTGTGAGTGTCTACCTGGGGACATCTCTTAGCTGTGTCTGTGTGTGAGTGTCTACCTGGGGGCGTCTCTTAGCTGTGTCTGTGTGTGAGTGTCTACCTGGGGGTCTCTCTTAGCTGTGTCTGTGTGTGAGTGTCTACCTGGGGGGGCATCTCTTAGCTGTGTCTGTGTGTGAGTGTCTACCTGGGGCTGTGTCTGTGTGTGAGTGTCTACCTGGGGGTGTCTCTTAGCTGTGTCTGTGTGTGAGTGTCTACCTAGGGGTGTCTCTTAGCTGTGTCTGTGTGTGAGTGTCTACCTGGGGGGCGTCTCTTAGCTGTGTCTGTGTGTGAGTGTCTACCTGGGGACATCTCTTAGCTGTGTCTGTGTGTGAGTGTCTACCTGGGGACATCTCTTAGCTGTGTCTGTGTGTGAGTGTCTACCTGGGGGCGTCTCTTAGCTGTGTCTGTGTGTGAGTGTCTACCTGGGGGTGTCTCTTAGCTGTGTCTGTGTGTGAGTGTCTACCTGGGGGGCATCTCTTAGCTGTGTCTGTGTGTGAGTGTCTACCTGGGGCTGTGTCTGTGTGTGAGTGTCTACCTGGGGGTGTCTCTTAGCTGTGTCTGTGTGTGAGTGTCTACCTAGGGGTGTCTCTTAGCTGTGTCTGTGTGTGAGTGTCTACCTGGGGGGCGTCTCTTAGCTGTGTCTGTGTGTGAGTGTCTACCCCTGTGGCTGTGTCTCTGTGTGTGAGTGTCTACCCCTCTGGCTGTGTTTATTAGCTGTGTCTGTGTGTGAATTTCTACCTGGGGCTGTGTCTGTGTGTGAGTGTCTACCTGGGGCTGTGTCTGTGTGTGAGTGTCTACCTGGGGCTGTCTCTGTGTGTGAGTGTCTACCCCTCTGGCTGTGTCTGTGTGTGAGTGTCTACCTGGGGCTGTGTCTGTGTGAGTGTCTACCCCTGTGTGTGTGTCTCTGTGTGTGAGTGTCTACCCCTGTGTGTGAGTGTCTACCCCTGTTTGTGTGTCTCTGTGTGTGTGAGTGTCTACCGCTGTGTCTCTGTGTGTGAGTGTCTACCCCTGTGTCTCTGTGTGTCTGTGTGTGAGTGTCTACCCCTGTGTGTCTGTGTGTGTCTACCCCTGTGTCTCTGTGTGTCTGTGTGTGCGTGTCTACCCTTGTGTGTCTGTGTGTGAGTGTCTACCGCTGTGTCTCTGTGTGTGTCTGTGTGTGTGTCTATCCCTGTGTGTGTGTCTCTGTGTGTGAGTGTCTACCCGTGTCTCTGTGTGTGAGTGTCTACCCCTGTGTCTCTGTGTGTCTGTGTGTGAGTGTCTACCCCTGTGTCTCTGTGTGTGAGTGTCTACCCCTGTGTGTCTGTGTGTCTGTGTGTGAGTGTCTACCCCTGTGTGTCTGTGTGTGTGAGTGTCTACCCCTGTGTGTCTGTGTCTCTGTGTGTGTGTCTACCCCTGTGTGTCTGTGTGTGTGTCTACCCCTGTGTCTGTGTGTGAGTGTCTACCCCTGTGTCTCTGTGTGTGTCTACCCCTGTGTCTCTGTGTGTGTGTCTACCCCTGTGTGTGTGTCTACCCCTGTGTCTCTGTGTATGAGTGTCTACCCCTGTGTGTCTGTGTGTGTGTGTCTACCCCTGTGTGTCTGTGTGTGAGTGTCTACCCCTGTGTGTCTGTGTGTGAGTGTCTACCCCTGTGTCTGTGTGTGAGTGTCTACCCCTGTGTGTCTGTGTCTCTGTGTGTGTCTACCCCTGTGTGTGTGTCTACCCCTGTGTGTCTGTGTGTGAGTGTCTACCCCTGTGTGTCTGTGTGTGAGTGTCTACCCCTGTGTGTCTGTGTCTCTGTGTGTGTCTACCCCTGTGTGTCTGTGTGTGTGTCTACCCCTGTGTCTGTGTGTGAGTGTCTACCCCTGTGTCTCTGTGTGTGTCTACCCCTGTGTTTCTGTGTGTGTGTCTACCCCTGTGTGTCTGTGTGTGAGTGTCTACCCCTGTGTGTCTGTGTGTGAGTGTCTACCCCTGTGTCTGTGTGTGAGTGTCTACCCCTGTGTGTCTGTGTCTCTGTGTGTGTCTACCCCTGTGTGTCTGTGTGTGTGTGTCTACCCCTGTGTGTCTGTGTGTGAGTGTCTACCCCTGTGTGTCTGTGTGTGAGTGTTTACCCCTGTGTCTGTGTGTGAGTGTCTACCCCTGTGTGTCTGTGTCTCTGTGTGTGTGTCTACCCCTGTGTCTGTGTCTCTGTGTGTGAGTGTCTACCCCTGTGTGTCTGTGTCTCTGTGTGTGTCTACCCCTGTGTGTCTGTGTGTGAGTGTCTACCCCTGTGTGTCTGTGTGTGAGTGTCTACCCCTGTGTGTCTCTGTGTGTGTCTACCCTGTGTATCTGTGTGTGTCTACCCCTGTGTGTTTCTGCGTGTGAGTGTCTACCCCTGTGTCTGTGTGTCTCTGTGTGTGTCTACCCCTGTGTGTCTCTGTGTTAGCAGCAGGGCAAGAAGAAGCGAAAGAGTGACTTCATCCCCTACCGAGACTCGGTTCTCACGTGGCTCTTGCGCGAGAATCTGGGTGAGCGGTCTAGGGGGTCTAGCCAGGGGTCTAGGGGGTCTAGCCAGGGGTCTAGCCAGGGGTCTAGGGGGTCTAGCCAGGGGTCTAGCCGGGGTCTAGGGGGTCTAGCCGGGGGGTCTAGGTGGTCTAGACAGGGGTCTAGACAGGGGTCTAGGGGGTCCAGGGGGTCTAGGGGGTCTAGCCAGGGGTCTAGGGGGTCTAGGGGGTCTAGCCAGGGGGTCTAGCCAGGGGTCTAGCCAGGGGGGGGTCTAGTCAGGGGGTCTAGTCAGGGGGTCTAGTCAGGGGGTCTAGGGGGTCTAGTCAGGGGTCTAGGGGGTCTAGCTAGGGGGTCTAGCCAGGGGGTCTAGCCAGGGGTCTAGGGGGTCTAGCTAGGGGGTCTAGCCAGGGGGTCTAGGGGGTCTAGCTAGGGGGTCTAGCCAGGGGGTCTAGGGGGTCTAGTCAGGGGGGTGGGGGTCTAGCCAGGGGGTCTAGCCAGGGGGTCTAGGGGGTCTAGTCAGGGGGTCTAGGGGGTCTAGGGGGTTTAGGGGGTCTAGTCAGGGGGTCTAGTCAGGGGGTCTAGGGGGTCTAGCCAGGGGGTCTAGCCAGGGGTCTAGCCAGGGGGTCTAGGGGGTCTAGGTGGTCTAGCCAGGGGGTCTTGTCAGGGGGTCTAGGGGGTCTAGTCAGGGGGTCTAACCAGGTCTGTGATTGTGGCCTGACTCTGTAGGTGAGTGGTGGTGTTGTGGCCTGACTATCGAGGTGAGTGGTTGTGGTGAGTGGTGGTGTTGTGGCCTCACTCTATAGGTGAGTGATGAGAGGTGGTGTTGTGGCCTGACTCTCTCTAGGTGAGTGGTTGTGGTGAGTGGTGTTGTGGCCTGATTCTATAGGCGAGTGGTGAGTGGTGGTGTTGTGGTCTGACTATCTAGGTGAGTGGTAAGAGGTGGTGTTGTGGCCTAACTCTCTCTAGGTGAGTGGTGGTGTTGTGGCCTAGCTCTCTGTAGGTAAGTGGTGGTGTTGTGGTCTGACTCTCTAGATGAGTGGTGAGTGGTGGTGTTGTGGCCTGAGTCTCTGTAGGTGAGTGGTGGTGTTGTGGTCTGACTCTCTAGATGAGTGGTGAGTGGTGGTGTTGTGGTCTGACTCTCTGTAGGTGAGTGGTGGTGTTGTGGTCTGACTCTCTAGATGAGTGGTGAGTGCTGGTGTTGTGGCCCGACTCTCTGTAGGTGAGTGATGGTGTTGTGGCCTGCCTCCAGGTGAGTGGTTGTGGTGAGTGGTGGTGTTGTGGCCTGCCTCCAGGTGAGTGGTTGTGGTGAGTGGTGGTGTTGTGGACTGGCTCTCTGTAGGTGAGTGGTGGTGTTGTGGTCTGACTCTCTAGATGAGTGGTGAGTGGTGGTGTTGTGGTCTGACTCTGTAGGTGAGTGGTGGTGTTGTGGTCTGACTCTCTAGATGAGTGGTGAGTGCTGGTGTTGTGGCCCGACTCTCTGTAGGTGAGTGGTGGTGTTGTGGCCTTCCTCCAGGTGAGTGGTTGTGGTGAGTGGTGGTGTTGTGGCCTGCCTCCAGGTGAGTGGTTGTGGTGAGTGGTGGTGTTGTGGCTTGACTCTGTAGGTGAGTGGTTGTGGTGAGCGGTGGTGTTGTGGCCTGCCTCTAGGTGAGCGGTGGTGTTGTGGACTAACTCTCTAGGTGAGTGGTGAGAGGTGGTGTTGTGGCCTGACTCTCTCTAGGTGAGTGGTCGTGTTGTGGTCTGACTCTAGGTGAGTGGTGGTGTTGTGGCCTGCCTCTCTAGGTGAGTGGTTGTGGTGAGTGGTGGTGTTGTGGCCTGACTCTCTGTAGGTGAGTGGTGGTGTTGTGGTCTGACTCTCTAGATGAGTGGTGAGTGGTGGTGTTGTGGCCTACTCTCTGTAGGTGAGTGGTGGTGTTGTGGCCTGACTCCAGGTGAGTGTTTGTGGTGAGTGGTGGTGTTGTGGCCTACACCCCAGGTGAGTGGTTGTGGTTACTGGTGGTGTTGTGGCCTGACTCTAGGTGAGTGGTGGTGTTGTGGTGAGTGGTGGTGTTGTGGCCCAACTCTCTGTAGGTGAGTGGTGGTGTTGTGGCCTACCTCCAGGTGAGTGGTTGTGGTGAGTGGTGGTGTTGTGGCCTGACTCCAGGTGAGTGGTTGTGGTGAGTGGTGGTGTTGAGGATTGACTCTGTAGGTGAGTGGTTGTGGTGAAAGGTGGTGTTGTGGCCTGCCTCTAGGTGAGCGGTGGTGTTGTGGACTGACTCTCTAGGTGAGTGGTGAGAGGTGGTGTTGTGGCCTGACTCTCTCTAGGTGAGTGGTCGTGTTGTGGTCTGACTCTAGGTGAGTGGTGGTGTTGTGGCCTGCCTCTCTAGGTGAGTGGTTGTGGTGAGTGGTGGTGTTGTGGACTGGCTCTCTGTAGGTGAGTGGTGGTGTTGTGGTCTGACTCTCTAGATGAGTGGTGAGTGGTGGTGTTGTGGTCTGACTCTCTGTAGGTGAGTGGTGGTGTTGTGGTCTGACTCTCTAGATGAGTGGTGAGTGCTGGTGTTGTGGCCCGACTCTCTGTAGGTGAGTGGTGGTGTTGTGGCCTTCCTCCAGGTGAGTGGTTGTGGTGAGTGGTGGTGTTGTGGCCTGCCTCCAGGTGAGTGGTTGTGGTGAGTGGTGGTGTTGTGGCTTGACTCTGTAGGTGAGTGGTTGTGGTGAGCGGTGGTGTTGTGGCCTGCCTCTAGGTGAGCGGTGGTGTTGTGGACTAACTCTCTAGGTGAGTGGTGAGAGGTGGTGTTGTGGCCTGACTCTCTCTAGGTGAGTGGTTGTGGTGAGCGGTGGTGTTGTGGCCTGCCTCTAGGTGAGCGGTGGTGTTGTGGACTAACTCTCTAGGTGAGTGGTGAGAGGTGGTGTTGTGGCCTGACTCTCTCTAGGTGAGTGGTTGTGGTGAGTGGTGGTGTTGTGGCCTGGCTCTCTGTAGGTGAGTGGTGGTGTTGTGGTCTGACTCTCTAGATGAGTGGTGAGTGGTGGTGTTGTGGTCTGACTCTCTGTAGGTGAGTGGTGGTGTTGTGGCCTACCTCCAGGTGAGTGGTTGTGGTGAGTGGTGGTGTTGTGGCCTACACCCCAGGTGAGTGGTTGTGGTTACTGGTGGTGTTGTGGCCTGACTCTAGGTGAGTGGTGGTGTTGTGGTGAGTGGTGGTGTTGTGGCCTGACTCTCTAGGTGAGTGGTGTTGTTGTGGTTACTGGTGGTGTTGTGGCCTGACTCTAGGTGAGTGGTGGTGTTGTGGTTACTGGTGTTGTGGCCCGACTCTCTCTGTAGGTGAGTGGTGGTGTTGTGGCCTGCCTCCAGGTGAGTGGTTGTGGTGAGTGGTGGTGTTGTGGCCTTCACCCCAGGTGAGTGGTTGTGGTTACTGGTGGTGTTGTGGCCTGTCTCTAGGTGAGTGGTGGTGTTGTGTTGAGTGGTGGTGTTGTGGCCTGACTCTCTAGGTGAGTGGTGGTGTTGTGGTTACTGGTGGTGTTGTGGCCTGACTCTAGGTGAGCGGTGGTGTTGTGGCCTGACTCTCTAGGTGAGTGGTGGTGTTGTGGTTACTGGTGGTGTTGTGGACTGACTCTAGGTGAGTGGTGGTGTTGTGGTTACTGGTGTTGTGGCCTGACTCTCTCTGTAGGTGAGTGGTGGTGTTGTGGTGAGTGGTTGTGTTGTGGCCTGCCTCTCTATAGGTGAGTGGTGGTGTTGTGGTAAGTGGTGGTGTTGTGGCCAAACTCCAGGTGAGTGGTTGTGGTGAGTGGTGGTGTTGTGGCCTGACTCTCTCTAGGTGAGTGGTGGTGTTGTGGTGAGTGGTGGTGTTGTGGTTACTGGTGGTGTTGTGGCCTGACTCTCTCTGTAGGTGAGTGGTGGTGTTGTGGTGAGTGGTTGTGTTGTGGCCTGCCTCTCTATAGGTGAGTGGTGGTGTTGTGGTAAGTGGTGGTGTTGTGGCCTAACTCCAGGTGAGTGGTTGTGGTGAGTGGTGGTGTTGTGGCCTGACTCTCTCTAGGTGAGTGGTGGTGTTGTGGTGAGTGGTGGTGTTGTGGTTACTGGTGGTGTTGTGGCCTGACTCTCTCTGTAGGTGAGTGGTGGTGTTGTGGTGAGTGGTTGTGTTGTGGTCTGCCTCTCTATAGGTGAGTGGTGGTGTTGTGGTAAGTGGTGGTGTTGTGGCCTAACTCCAGGTGAGTGGTTGTGGTGAGTGGTGGTGTTGTGGCCTGACTCTCTCTAGGTGAGTGGTGGTGTTGTGGTGAGTGGTGGTGTTGTGGTTACTGGTGGTGTTGTGGCCTGACTCTCTCTGCAGGTGAGTGGTGGTGTTGATGCCTGCCTCTAGGTGAGTGGTTGTGGTGAGTGGTGGTGTTGTGGCCTGATACTCTCTAGGTGAGTGGTGGTGTTGTGGTGAGTGGTGGTGTTGTGGTTACTGGTGGTGTTGTAGCCTGACTCTCTCTGTAGGTGAGTGGTGTTGTGGTGAGTGGTGGTGTTGTGGTTACTGGTGGTGTTGTGGCCTGACTCTCTCTGTAGGTGAGTGGTGAGTGGTGGTGTTTTGGCCTGACTCTAGGTGAGTAGTGAGTGGTGGTGTTGTGGCCTGCCTCCAGGTGAGTGGTTGTGGTGAGTGGTTGTGTTGTGGCCTACCTCTCTATAGGTGAGTGGTGGTGTTGTGGTGAGTGGTGGTGTTGTGGTTACTGGTGGTGTTGTGGTCTGACTCTCTGTAGGTGAGTGGTGGTGTTGTGGTGAGTGGTGGTGTTGTGGTGAGTGGTGGTGTTGTGGCCTGCCTCCAGGTGAGTGGTTGTGGTGAGTGGTGGTGTTGTGGTCTGACACTCTCTAGGTGAGTGGTGGTGTTGTGGTTACTGGTGGTGTTGTGGCCTGACTCTCTCTGTAGGTGAGTGGTGGTGTTGTGGTGAGTGGTGGTGTTGTGGTTACTGGTGGTGTTGTGGCATGACTCTCTCTGTAGGTGAGTGGTGGTGTTGTGGCCTGACTCTAGGTGAGTGGTGGTGTTGTGGCCTGACTCTAGGTGAGTGGTGGTGTTGTGGCCTGACTCTAGGTGAGTGGTGGTGTTGTGGTTACTGGTGGTGTTGTGGCATGACTCTCTCTGTAGGTGAGTGGTGAGTGGTGGTGTTGTGGCCTGACTCTAGGTGAGTGGTGGTGTTGTGGCCTGACTCTAGGTGAGTGGTGGTGTTGTGGTTACTGGTGGTGTTGTGGCATGACTCTCTCTGTAGGTGAGTGGTGAGTGGTGGTGTTGTGGCCTGACTCTAGGTGAGTGGTGGTGTTGTGGCATGACTCTCTGTAGGTGGAAACTCCCGCACGGCGATGGTGGCCGCTCTCAGTCCAGCCGACATCAACTACGATGAGACGCTGGGCACCCTGAGGTGCCGTCACCATCGTCACCATCGTCACCATCGTCACCATCGTCACCATCACTATCATCACTATCACCATCACTATCACCATCACTACCATCATCACCATCACTACCATCACTACCACCATCACCATCGTCACCATCGTCCCCATCGTCACCATCATTACCATCACTATCATCATCACTACCATCACTACCACCATCGTCACTATCACCATCACTACCATCACTACCACCATCATCACCATCGCTACCACCATCGTCACCATCACTATCACCATCACTACCATCACTACCACCATCACCATCGTCACCATCGTCACCATCGTCACCATCATCACCACCGTCATCACCACCGTCACCATCGTCACCACCGTCACCATCGTCACCATCACCATCATCACCACCACCACCATCATCATCGTCACCATCATCACCATCGTCACGATCATCACCATCACTACCACCATCACTATCACTATCACCATCATCACCATCGTCACCATCATCACCATCGTCACCATCATCACCATCACTACCACCATCACTATGACTATCACCATCATCACCATCACTACCACCATCATCACCATCGTCACCATCACTATCACCATCACTACCATCACTACCATCACTACCATCATCACCATCATCACCATCGTCACCATCATCACCATCACTACCATCACTATCACCATCGTCACCATCACTACCATCACTACCACCATCATCACCATCACTACCATCACTACCACCATCATCACCATCGTCACCATCGTCACCATCATCACCATCACTATCACCATCATCACCATCATCACCATCGTCACCATCATCACCATCACTACCACCATCATCACCATCATCACCATTGTCACCATCATCACCATCGTCACCATCGTTACCATCACTATCACCATCACTACCACCATCATCACCATCATCACCATCACTACCATCACTACCACCATCATCACCATCACTATCACCATCGTCACCATCGTTACCATCACTACCATCACTATCACCACCGTCACCATCGTCACCACCGTCACCATCATCACCATCGTCACCATCATCACCATCACTACCACCATCACCACTACCACTACTACCACCATCACTACCATCACTACCATCACTATCACTACTACCACCATCACCACCACCATCACCACCACCATCATCACCATCACTACCGTCACTACCACTCCTACCACCATCACTACCGTCACCACTACCATCACCATCGCCACTATCACTACTACCACCATCACCACCGTCACCATCATCACCACCATCACTACCACTACTACCACCATCACCACCACCATCATCACTATCACTACTACCACCATCACCACCATCACTACCACTACTACCACCATCACTGCCATCACCACCACCACCATCATCACTATCACTACTACCACCATCACCACCATCACTACCACTACTACCACCATCACTGCCATCACCACCACCACCATCATCACTATCACTACTACCACCATTAACACTATCACTACTACCACCACCACTACCATCATCACTTCCACCATCACTACCATCACCACCACCACCACCATCATCACTATCACTACTACCACCATCACCACGATCACCACCACTAGCACCACCACCATCACAACCACTAGCACCACCACTACCACTACCATCATCACTACCACCATCACTACCACATCACCACCATCACGAACACCATCTTCACTATCATCACCATCACTAGCACTATCACCATCATCACCACCATCACCATCACTTCCACCATCACCATCATCACCATCATCACTGCCATCATCACCATCTTCACCATCATCACCACCGTCACCATCATCACCATCACCACCATCACTACCACCACCACCATCACGACCACTACCACCACCATCACCACCATCACGACCACCACCATCACCATCACTACCACCATCACTACCACCACCATCACCATCACTACCACCATCACTACCATCACCATCATCACCACCATCACTATCACTACCACCCACTCCCAACTCACTCACCACCCCCTCACCACTCACTCTCACTCACCACTCACTCACACACTCACTCACCACTCACCACTCACTCACCCACTCACCACTCACTCACCACTCACTCACTCACCCACTCACTCACACACTCACTCACCACTCACCACTCACTCACCCACTCACCACTCACTCACCACTCACTCACTCACCCACTCACCACTCACTCACACACTCACTCACCACTCACTCACCACTCACTCTCACTCACTCACCACTCACTCACCTCACCACTCACTCTCACTCACTCACCACTCACCACTCACTCACCACTCACTCACTCACTCACCACTCACTCACCACTCACTCCCACCCACTCACTCACCACTCGCTCACCACTCACTCCCACTCACTCTCACTTACTCACCTTTCTCACCACTCACTCACCACCCCCTCACCACTCACTCACCACTCGCTCACCACTCACTCCCCTCACTCACCACTCACTCACCACCCCCTCACCACTCACTCACCACTCACTCACTCACCACTCACTCACCACTCACTCACTCACCACTCACTCACCACTCACTCACCACTCACTCCCCTCACTCACCACTCACTCACCACCCCCTCACCACTCACTCACCACTCACTCACCACCACCTCACCACTCACTCTCACTCACTCACCACTCACTCCCCTCACTCACTCACCACTCACTGACTCACCTTTCTCACCACTCACTCACCACTCACTCCCCTCACTCACCACTCACTCACCACTCACCCACTCACTCACCACTCACTCACTCACTCACCCACTCTCACTCACTCTCACTCACTCACTCACCCACTCACCACTCACTCTCACTCACCACTCACTCACTCACCACTCTCTCCCCTCACTCACCACCTCCTCACCACCCCGTAGGTATGCCGACAGGGCCAAGCAGATAAAGTGTAACGCCGTGGTGAACGAGGATCCCAACGCTTACTCACCACTCACTCACCACTCACTCACCACTCACTCACTCACCACTCACTCACCACTCACTCACTCACCACTCACTCACCCACTCACTACCTCACTCACTCACCCACCCACCCACTCACTCACCCACCTCTCACTCACCACTCACTCACCACCCCCTCACCACTCACTCTCACTCACCACTCACTCACCACTCACCACTCCCTCACCACCTCCTCACCACCCCGTAGGTATGCCGACAGGGCCAAGCAGATAAAGTGTAACGCCGTGGTGAACGAGGATCCCAACGCTTACTCACCACTCACTCACCACCCACTCACCACTCACTCTCACTCACTCTCACTCACTCACAACTCACTCACTCACACTCACCACTCACCACTCACTCACCACTCACTCACCACTCACCACTCACTCACCACTCCCTCACCACCTCCTCACCACCCCGTAGGTATGCCGACAGGGCCAAGCAGATAAAGTGTAACGCCGTGGTGAACGAGGACCCCAACGCTTACTCACCACTCACTCACCACTCACTCACCCACTCACCACTCACTCCCCTCACTCACCACCTCCTCACCACCTCCTCACCACCCCGTAGGTATGCCGACAGGGCCAAGCAGATAAAGTGTAACGCCGTGGTGAACGAGGATCCAACCGCTTACTCACCACTCACTCACCACTCACTCTCACTCACCACTCCCTCACCACCTCACTCACCACCCTGTAGGTATGCCGACAGGGCCAAGCAGATAAAGTGTAACGCCGTGGTGAACGAGGACCCCAACGCTTACTCACCACTCACTCACCACTCACTCACCACTCACTCACTCACCCACTCACTACCTCACTCACTCACCCACCCACCCACTCACTCACCCACCTCTCACTCACCACTCACTCACCACCCCCTCACCACTCACTCTCACTCACCACTCACTCACCACTCACCACTCCCTCACCACCTCCTCACCACCCCGTAGGTATGCCGACAGGGCCAAGCAGATAAAGTGTAACGCCGTGGTGAACGAGGATCCCAACGCTTACTCACCACTCACTCACCACTCACTCACCACTCACTCTCACTCACTCTCACTCACTCACAACTCACTCACTCACACTCACCACTCAACCACTCACTCTCACTCACTCTCCACTCACTCACCACTCACTCTCACTCACTCACCACTCACTCCCCTCACTCACTCACCACTCACTGACTCACCTTTCTCACCACTCACTCACCACTCACTCCCCTCACTCACCACTCACTCACCACTCACCCACTCACTCACCACTCACTCACTCACTCACCCACTCTCACTCACTCTCACTCACTCACTCACCCACTCACCACTCACTCTCACTCACCACTCACTCACTCACCACTCTCTCCCCTCACTCACCACCTCCTCACCACCCCGTAGGTATGCCGACAGGGCCAAGCAGATAAAGTGTAACGCCGTGGTGAACGAGGATCCCAACGCTTACTCACCACTCACTCACCACCCACTCACCACTCACTCTCACTCACTCTCACTCACTCACAACTCACTCACTCACACTCACCACTCACCACTCACTCACCACTCACCACTCACTCACCACTCCCTCACCACCTCCTCACCACCCCGTAGGTATGCCGACAGGGCCAAGCAGATAAAGTGTAACGCCGTGGTGAACGAGGACCCCAACGCTTACTCACCACTCACTCACCACTCACTCACCCACTCACCACTCACTCCCCTCACTCACCACCTCCTCACCACCTCCTCACCACCCCGTAGGTATGCCGACAGGGCCAAGCAGATAAAGTGTAACGCCGTGGTGAACGAGGACCCCAACGCTTACTCACCACTCACTCACCACTCACTCACCCACTCACCACTCACTCCCCTCACTCACCACCTCCTCACCACCTCCTCACCACCCCGTAGGTATGCCGACAGGGCCAAGCAGATAAAGTGTAACGCCGTGGTGAACGAGGATCCAAACGCTTACTCACCACTCACTCACCACTCACTCTCACTCACCACTCCCTCACCACCTCACTCACCACCCTGTAGGTATGCCGACAGGGCCAAGCAGATAAAGTGTAACGCCGTGGTGAACGAGGACCCCAACGCTTACTCACCACTCACTCACCACTCACTCACCACTCACTCACTCACCCACTCACTACCTCACTCACTCACCCACCCACCCACTCACTCACCCACCTCTCACTCACCACTCACTAACCACCCCCTCACCACTCACTCTCACTCACCACTCACTCACCACTCACCACTCCCTCACCACCTCCTCACCACCCCGTAGGTATGCCGACAGGGCCAAGCAGATAAAGTGTAACGCCGTGGTGAACGAGGACCCCAACGCTTACTCACCACTCACTCACCACTCACTCACCCACTCACCACTCACTCCCCTCACTCACCACCTCCTCACCACCTCCTCACCACCCCGTAGGTATGCCGACAGGGCCAAGCAGATAAAGTGTAACGCCGTGGTGAACGAGGATCCAAACGCTTACTCACCACTCACTCACCACTCACTCTCACTCACCACTCCCTCACCACCTCACTCACCACCCTGTAGGTATGCCGACAGGGCCAAGCAGATAAAGTGTAACGCCGTGGTGAACGAGGACCCCAACGCTTACTCACCACTCACTCACCACTCACTCACCACTCACTCACTCACCCACTCACTACCTCACTCACTCACCCACCCACCCACTCACTCACCCACCTCTCACTCACCACTCACTCACCACCCCCTCACCACTCACTCTCACTCACCACTCACTCACCACTCACCACTCCCTCACCACCTCCTCACCACCCCGTAGGTATGCCGACAGGGCCAAGCAGATAAAGTGTAACGCCGTGGTGAACGAGGACCCCAACGCTTACTCACCACTCACTCACCACTCACTCACCACTCACTCTCACTCACTCACAACTCACTCACTCACACTCACCACTCAACCACTCACTCTCACTCACTCTCCACTCACTCACCACTCACTCTCACTCACTCACCACTCACTCACTCACCTTTCTCACCGCTCACTCACCACCCACTCACACTCACTCCCCTCACTCACCACCCCGTAGGTATGCCGACAGGGCCAAGCAGATAAAGTGTAACGCCGTGGTGAACGAGGACCCCAACGCTTACTCACCACTCACTCACCACTCACTCACCACTCACTCCCCTCACTCACCACTCACTCACCACCCCCTCACCACTCACTCACCACTCACTCACCACCACCTCACCACTCACTCTCACTCACTCACCACTCACTCCCCTCACTCACTCACCACTCACTGACTCACCTTTCTCACCACTCACTCACCACTCACTCCCCTCACTCACCACTCACTCACCACTCACCCACTCACTCACCACTCACTCACTCACTCACCCACTCTCACTCACTCTCACTCACTCACTCACCCACTCACCACTCACTCTCACTCACCACTCACTCACCACTCACCACCTCCTCACCACCTCCTCACCACCCCGTAGGTATGCCGACAGGGCCAAGCAGATAAAGTGTAACGCCGTGGTGAACGAGGACCCCAACGCTTACTCACCACTCACTCACCACTCACTCACCACTCACTCACCACTCACTCTCACTCACCACTCACTCACTCACTCACCCACCCACCCACCCACTCACTCACCCACTCACTCACCACTCCCCTCACCACCTCCTCACCACCCCGTAGGTATGCCGACAGGGCCAAGCAGATAAAGTGTAACGCCGTGGTGAACGAGGACCCCAACGCTCGACTCATCCGGGAGCTCAAGGAGGAGGTCTCTCGCCTCAAGCTGCTGCTACGCTCACAGGGCCTGGGGGACGTCGTGGACAGTGAGTGGCTCGCCGGGGGCTCACCGGGGACTCACCGGGGGCTCACCGGGGACTCACCGGGGGCTCACCGGGGACTCACCGGGGCTCACCGGGGACTCACAGGGCCTGGGGGACATCGTGGACAGTGAGTGGCTCGCCGGGGGCTCACCGGGGACTCACCGGGGACTCACCGGGGGCTCACCGGGGACTCACCGGGGACTCACAGGGCCTGGGGGACATCGTGGACAGTGAGTGGCTCGCCGGGGGCTCACCGGGGACTCACCGGGGCTCACCGGGGGCTCACCGGGGACTCACCGGGGACTCACAGGGCCTGGGGGACATCGTGGACAGTGAGTGGCTCGCCGGGGGCTCACCGGGGACTCACCGGGGCTCACCGGGGGCTCACCGGGGACTCACCGGGGACTCACAGGGCCTGGGGGACATCGTGGACAGTGAGTGGCTCGCCGGGGGCTCACCGGGGACTCACCGGGGGCTCACCGGGGACTCACCGGGGACTCACCGGGGACTCACCGGGGGCTCACCGGGGGCTCACCGGGGACTCACCGGGGACTCACAGGGCCTGGGGGACATCGTGGACAGTGAGTGGCTCGCCGGGGACTCACCGGGGACTCACCGGGGACTCACAGGGGACTCACCGGGGACTCACCAGGGACATCGTGGACAGTGAGTGACTCGCCGGGGACTCACCGGGGACTCACCGGGGACTCACCGGGACTCACCGGGGACATCGGGGACTCACAGGGGACTCACCGGGGACTCACCGGGGACATCGGGGACTCACAGGGGGCTCACCGGGGACTCACCGGGGACTCACCGGGACTCACCGGGGACTCACCGGGGACATCGGGGACTCACAGGGGACTCACCGGGGACTCACCGGGACTCACCGGGGACTCACTGGGGACTCACCGGGGACTCACAGGGCCTGGGGAACATCGTGGACAGTGAGTGGCTCACCGGGGACTCACCGGGGACTCACCGGGGACTCACAGGGCCTGGGGGACATCGTGGACAGTGAGTGGCTCGCCGGGGACTCACCGGGGACTCACCGGGGACTCACCGGGGACTCACCGGGGGCTCACCGGGGGCTCACAGGGGACTCACCGGGGACTCACCGGGGACATCATGGACAGTGAGTGGCTCGCCGGGGGCTCACCGGGGACTCACCGGGGACTCACCGGGACTCACCGGGGACATCGGGGACTCACAGGGGACTCACCGGGGACTCACCGGGGACATCGGGGACTCACAGGGGGCTCACCGGGGACTCACCGGGGACTCACCGGGACTCACCGGGGACATCGGGGACTCACAGGGGACTCACCGGGGACTCACCGGGACTCACCGGGGACTCACTGGGGACTCACCGGGGACTCACAGGGCCTGCGGAACATCGTGGACAGTGAGTGGCTCACCGGGGACTCACCGGGGACTCACTGGGGCTTACCGGGGACTCACCGGGGACAGTGAGTGGCTCGCCGGGACTCACCGGGGCTTACCGGGACTCACCGGGGACTCACCGGGGCCGGGTTCACCACAGCCTGTCTCTCCGTGTGTCTCACCCCCCTTGTCTCACCCCCTGTGTCTCTCCCCCCGTGTCTCACCCCCCGTGTCTCACCCCCCGTGTCTCTCTCCCCGTGTCTCTCTCCCCGTGTCTCCCCGTGTCTCCCCGTGTCTCTCTCCCCGTGTCTCCCCCCCCGTGTCTCTCTCCCCGTGTCTCCCCGTGTCTCACTCCCCGTGTCTCCCCGTGTCTCTCTCCCCACGTCTCTCTCCCCGTGTCTCCCCTCTTAAGACACATCAGCTCAATCTCGTTTGGAACCACACGGAACTAAATGTGTGTAACCACCACCACCATCATCACCACCACCATCACGATCATCATCACCAACATCATCACCACCAACATCATCACCACCATCATCATCACCACCACCATCATCATCATCACCGCCATCATCACCACCATCATCATCACCGCCACCATCACCATCATCACCACCATCATCATCATCACCACCAACATCATCACCACCAACATCATCACCACCAACATCATCACCAACATCATCATCACCATCATCATCATCACCACCACCATCATCATCACCATCATCATCATCACCACCACCATCACCATCATCACCACCACCATCATCATCATCACCGCCATCATCATCACCATCATCATCACCGCCACCATCACCATCATCACCACCACCATCATCATCACCACCATCATCATCACCGCCACCATCACGATCATCATCACCACCACCATCATCACCACCATCATCATCACCACCATCATCATCACTGCCACCATCACTACCATCACCACCATTACCGCCATCATCACCACCACCATCACGATCATCAACACCATCATCATCACCACCATCATCATCACCACCATCACCGTCATCACCATCACCACCATCACCACCATCACCACTGCCACCATCACTACCATCACCACCATTACCGCCATCATCACCACCACCATCACCACCACCATCATCACCACCACCATGGCGCCTGCAGCTGTTTTGCTCTATCCACTGCTGGTCTCTTGCTTGGCGCTGCTGCTAATGTGACCCACAGGCAATGCATAGCAGCTGTGTGGTGAGTCTCTGTGTGAGTCTCTGTGTGTCTGTGTGTGTGTGTGAGTCTCTGTGTGAGTGTGAGTCTCTGTGTGAGTGAGTGAGTCTCTGTGTGAGTGTGAGTCTCTGTGTGTGTGGTGCGTCTCTGTGTGAGTGTGAGTCTCTGTGTGTGTGGTGAGTCTCTGTGTGAGTGTCTGTGTGAGTCTCAGAGTGTGTGAGTCTCTGTGTGTGTGAGTCTCTGTGTGAGTGTCTGAGTGAGTCTCTGTGTGAGTGGTGAGTCTCTGTGTGAGTGGTGAGTCTCTGTGTTAGTGAGTCTCTGTGTGAGTGAGTCTCTACGTGTGTGTGTGAGTCTCTGTGTGAGTGTGAGTCTCTGTGTGTGTGGTGAGTCTCTGTGTGTCTGTGTGTGTGTGTGTGAGTCTCTGTGTGAGTGTGAGTCTCTGTGTGTGTGGTGCGTCTCTGTGTGAGTGTGAGTCTCTGTGTGTGTGGTGAGTCTCTGTGTGAGTGTGTCTCAGAGTGAGTGAGTCTCTGTGTGTGTGAGTCTCTGTGTGAGTGTCTGAGTGAGTCTGTGTGAGTGGTGAATCTCTGTGTGAGTGGTGAGTCTCTGTGTGATGAGTCTGTGTGAGTGAGTCTCTGTGTGAGTCTCTGTGTGTCTGTGTGTGTGTGAGTCTCTGTGTGAGTGTGAGTCTCTGTGTGAGTGAGTGAGTCTCTGTGTGAGTGAGTGAGTCTCTGTGTGAGTGAGTCTCTGTGTGAGTGTGAGTCTCTGTGTGTGTGGTGCGTCTCTGTGTGAGTGTGAGTCTCTGTGTGTGTGGTGAGTCTCTGTGTGAGTGTCTGTGTGAGTCTCAGAGTGTGTGAGTCTCTGTGTGTGTGAGTCTCTGTGTGAGTGTCTGAGTGAGTCTCTGTGTGAGTGGTGAGTCTCTGTGTGAGTGGTGAGTCTCTGTGTTAGTGAGTCTCTGTGTGAGTGAGTCTCTACGTGTGTGTGAGTCTCTGTGTGAGTGTGAGTCTCTGTGTGAGTGTGAGTCTCTGTGTGTGTGGTGAGTCTCTGTGTGTGTGTGTGAGGGTCTCTGTGTGAGTGTGAGTATCTGTGTGTGTGGTGCGTCTCTGTGTGAGTGTGAGTCTCTGTGTGTGTGGTGAGTCTCTGTGTGAGTGAGTCTCAGAGTGAGTGAGTCTCTGTGTGTGTGAGTCTCTGTGTGAGTGTCTGAGTGAGTCTGTGTGAGTGGTGAATCTCTGTGTGAGTGGTGAGTCTCTGTGTGATGAGTCTGTGTGAGTGAGTCTCTGTGTGAGTGAGTGTCTGTGTGAGTGAGTCTCTGTGTGAGTGTCTGTGTGAGTGAGTCTCTGTGTGAATGAGTGTCTGTGTGAGTGAGTCTCTGTGTGAGTGAGTCTCTGTGTGAGTCTCTGTGTGTGTGTGAGTCTCTGTGTGAGTGTGAGTCTCTGTGTGTGTGGTGAGTCTCTGTGTGAGTTTCTGTGCGAGTCTCAGAGTGAGTGAGTCTCTGTGTGTGTGAGTCTCTGTGCGAGTGTCTGAGTGAGTCTCTGTGTGAGTGATGAGTCTCTGTGTGAGTCTCTGTGTGAGTGAGTCTCTGTGTGAGTGAGTCTCTGTGTGAGTGAGTCTCTGTGTGAGTGTCTGTGTGAGTGAGTCTCTGTGTGAGTGAGTCTCTGTGTGAGTGAGTCTCTGTGTGAGTCTCTGTGTGGGTGAGTCTCTGTGTGAGTGGTGAGTCTCTGTGTGAGTGGTGAGTCTCTGTGTGAGTGGCGAGTCTGTGTGGTGAGTCTCTGTGTGAGTGAGTCTCTGTGTGAGTGAGTCTCTGTGTGTGTGAGTCTGTGTGGTGAGTCTGTGTGGTGAGTCTCTGTGTGAGTGAGTCTCTGTGTGAGTGAGTCTCTGTGTGTGTGAGTCTGTGTGTGTGTGAGTCTCTGTGCGAGTGAGTGTCTGTGTGAGTGAGTCTCTGGGTGAGTGGTGAGTCTCTGTGTGAGTCTCTGTGTGAGTGAGTCTCTGTGTGAGTGAGTCTCTGTGTGAGTGAGTCTCTGTGTGGTGAGTGTCTGTGTGGTGAGTCTCTGTGTGAGTGAGTGTCTGTGTGTGTGGTGAGTCTCTGTGTGGTGAGTCTCTGTGTGAGTGGTGAGTCTCTGTGTGAGTGGTGAGTCTCTGTGTGAGTGGTGAGTCTCTGTGTGAGTGGTGAGTCTCTGTGTGTGGTGAGTCTCTGTGTGAGTGAGTCTCTGTGTGAGTGAGTCTCTGTGTGAGTGAGTCTCTGTGTGAGTGAGTCTCTGAGTGAGTGAGTCTCTGCGTGAGTGAGTCTCTGCGTGAGTGAGTGTCTGCGTGAGTGAGTCTCTGAGTGAGTTAGTTTCTGCGTGAGTGAGTGTCTGTGTGAATGAGTGAGTCTCTGTGTGAGTGAGTGAGTCTCTGTGTGAGTGAGTGAGTCTCTGTGTGAGTGAGTGAGTCTCTGTGTGAGTGAGTGAGTCTCTGTGTGAGTGAGTGTCTGTGTGAGTGAGTGTCTGTGTGAGTGAGTCTCTGTGTGAGTGAGTCTCTGTGAGTGAGTGAGTCTCTGTGTGAGTGAGTCTCTGTGTGAGTGAGTCTCTGTGTGTGGTGAGTCTCTCTGAGTCTCTGTGTGAGTGAGTTTCTGCGTGTGTGGTGAGTCTCTCTGTGTGTGGTGAGTCTCTCTGTGTGTGGTGAGTCTCTGTGCGAGTGAGTCTGTGTGAGTGAGTCTCTGTGCGAGTGAGCCTCTGTGTGAGTGAGTCTCTGAGTCTCTGAGTGTTTGAGTCTCTGTGTGAGTGTCTGTGTGTGTGAGTCTCTGTGTGAGTGAGTCTCTGCGCGAGTGAGTCTCTTTGTGAGTGAGTCTCTGTGTGTGAGTGAGTCTCTGTGTGTGTGGTGAGTCTCTGTGTGTGTGGTGAGTCTCTGTGTGTGTGGTGAGTCTCTGTGAGTCTGTGGGTCTCTGTGTGGTGAGTCTGTGGGTCTGCATGATGAGTCTGTGGGGCTCTGCAACTGCTTTGCCTGCACCCTGCTGTTGTGCCGCTGCTGCTGTTGCTGCTGCTGCTGTTGGTGGTGTTGGTGTTTGTGATGGTGGCGGTGACGGTTTTGATGGTGGTCAGGTAACCCCATGTCCCATTGCACGGTGGACTCCCCTGAATGGCTTCTTAGCTTGCAGCTTGGCATCATGCAGCTGAGCTTAGCACACGGTGGCCGTGTGGGTGGGTGGGTGGGGTTCACGGTGGCCGTGTGGGTGGGTGGGGTTCACAGTGGCCGTGTGGGTGGGTGGGGTTCACAGTGGCCGTGTGAGTGGGTGGGGTTCACGGCGGCCGTGTGGGTGGGTGGGGTTCACGGCGGCCGTGTGGGTGGGTGGGTGGGGTTCACCACGGCCGTGTGGGTGGGTGGGTGGGGTTCACGGTGGCCGTGTGGGTGGGTGGGTGGGGTTCACGGTGGCCGTGTTGGTGGGTGGGTGGGTGGGGTTCACGGCGGCCGTGTGGGTGGGTGGGTGGGGTTCACGGTGGCCGTGTGGGTGGGTGGGTGGGGTTCACGGTGGCCGTGTGGGTGGGTGGGGTTCACGACGGCCGTGTGGGTGGGTGGGGTTCACGGTGGCCGTGTGGGTGGGTTGGTGGGGTTCACGGTGGCCGTGTGGGTGGGTGGGTGGGGTTCACGGCGGCCGTGTGGGTGGGTGGGGTTCACGATGGCCGTGTGGGTGGGTGGGGTTCACGACGGCCGTGTGGGTGGGTGGGGTTCGCGGCGGCCGTGCGGGTGGGTGGGGTTCACGATGGCCGTGTGGGTGGGTGGGGTTCGCGGCGGCCGTGCGGGTTGACTCGGCACTAACCCAACCCCCACGTGACCCCCACGTGACCCCCACGTGACCCCCACGTGACCCCCACGTGACCCCCACGTGACCCCCACGTGACCCCCCCCCCCCCTCAGATATCAAGGACCTTGAGAACAACAACTTCCGGCAGCTCCACGGGCCTGGGCAGGGCGACCAGCCGGCCCCCGCGGGGTCTTCGTCCGGGGCCGCCGCTACCTCCGTCTCCCGGCTTCACGAGCGGATCCTGGCCACGCCGGGCGGGGAGGAGGCCATCGAGAGGCTCAAGGTTCGCGAACCGGGCGCTGGTAGTGCTCGAGTGGCTGGCCAAGGGAAGGGAAGGGGGGGGGGGGTAAACTCGGTCCGATTCGAACGAAACTCGACCACGGGATTGTGCCGCCCCTAAGGAGTCGCTCCACCGAAAATCACCCGCGTGGGTCAAAGGGTCGACGCGTTTAGCCCCGTTTGTTTTGCGCGTGGCAACGTTGAGCCGCCCGGAAAAAAATAAAATATGTAAAACGCGTCATTTCCTTTCAGGTTCGTTCGGGTAAACTCGGTCCGATTAGAGCGAAACTCGACCACGGGATTGTGCCGCCCCTAAGGAGTCGCCCCACCGAAAATCACCCCGTGGGTCAAAGGGTCGACGCGTTTAGCCCCGTTTGTTTTGCGCGTGGCAACGTTGAGCCGCCCGGAAAAAAAAAAATATGTAAAACCCGTCATTTCCTTTCAGGTTCGTTCGGGTAAACTCGGTCCGATTAGAGCGAAACTCGACCACGGGATTGTGCCGCACGTACGGAGTCGCCCCACCGAAAATCACCCCGTGGGTCAAAGGGTCGATGCGTTTAGCCCCGTCTGTTTAGCGCGTGGCAACGTTGAGCCGCCCGGAAAAAAAATATATAAAACGCGTCATTTCCTTTCAGGTTCGTTCGGGTAAACTCGGTCCGATTAGAGCGAAACTCGACCACGGGATTGTACCGCCCCTAAGGAGTCGCCCCACCGAAAATCACCCGCGTGGGTCAAAGGGTCGACGCGCTTAGCCCCGCGTGTGATTGTCTGTAATGGTGGGGGGCCCGGTGCAACTCTAGCGTCGATCGCCCCATCCGAACAAAACTCGGCCCCAAGTGTTCCGTTGTCCGTACGGGGTGAGGTTGTGAAGGTTCGAGGCGGGACGCGACGTAGCCCGGAGAGGTGAAGTATGGCTTAATCGCCTCCCACCCCCCCCTCCCGCCCGCTCCTTACCCACCCACCCACCCACCGTGCGATTCTCCGCACAGGAATCGGAAAAAATCATCGCTGAGCTCAACGAGACGTGGGAGGAGAAACTCCGTAAGACGGAGTCCATCCGCACTGAGAGGTGGGTGGGTGGGTGGGTGAGTGAGTGAGTGGGTGGGTGGGTGAGTGGGTGGGTGAGTGACTGGGTGGGTGACTGGGTGGGTGCGTGGGTGAGTGGGTGAGTGCGTGGATGAGTGAGTGGGTGGGTGAGTGAGTGAGTGAGTGGGTGGGTGAGTGAGTGAGTGGGTGGGTGACTGAGTGGGTGGGTGAGTGGGTGGGTGCGTGGGTGGGTGGGTGGATGACTGGGTGGGTGAGTGAGTGGGTGAGTGCGTGGATGAGTGGGTGGGTGGGTGAGTGAGTGGGTGAGTGGGTGGGTGGGTGAGTGGGTGAGTGCGTGGATGAGTGAGTGGGTGGGTGGGTGAGTGGGTGAGTGAGTGCGTGGATGAGTGAGTGGGTGAGTGGGTGGGTGGGTGAGTGGGTGGGTGCGTGGGTGGGTGGATGACTGGGTGAGTGGGTGAGTGAGTGGGTGAGTGGGTGAGTGACTGGGTGAGTGAGTGGGTGAGTGGGTGAGTGACTGGGTGAGTGAGTGAGTGGGTGGGTGAGTGGGTGGGTGGGTGAGTGGGTGAGTGAGTGGGTGAGTGGGTGAGTGACTGGGTGAGTGAGTGGGTGAGTGGGTGAGTGACTGGGTGGGTGAGTGGGTGGGTGGGTGAGTGTTTGTGCGTCTTGGGGAGACAAAGGCGGCCGGGCGTGGTGGTGATGGTGGCGGTGACCACCCCCACCTCTGTTTGCGCCACAGCCGCAGCCTTCGCCGGCACCGCCTATCGCTGCTCCTTGCGAGCACTTGCCCCGGCGGTGCTGATCGAGGCTACCTGGGGGACCTTTGTATTTGTGTGTGCGCGTTGCAGGGAGGCGCTGCTGGCCGAGATGGGCGTCGCCATCCGGGAGGACGGAGGGACCCTGGGAGTGTTTACACCCAAGAAGGTGGGGGGGGAGGAGTGGGTGGGTTGGTGGGTGGGTGGTGGGCAGGCTGGGTGGGTGGGTGGTGGGGAGACTGTGTGGGTGGGTGTCGGGGAGACTGAGTGGGTGGGTGGGTGGATTGCAGGCTGGCTGGGTGGGTGGTGGGCAGGCTGTGTGGGTGGGTGGTGGGGCAGGCTGTGTGGGTGGGTGGATTGCAGGCTGGGGGGGTGGGTGTTGGGGAGACTGAGTGGGTGGGTGGGTGGGTGGATTGCAGGTTGAGTGGGTGGGTGGTGGGCAGGCTGTGTGGGTGGGTGTTGGGGAGACTGAGTGGGTGGGTGGGTGGGTGGATTGCAGGTTGAGTGGGTGGGTGGTGGGCAGGCTGTGTGGGTGGGTGGTGGGGAGACTGAGTGGGTGGGTGGGTGGGTGGATTGCAGGCTGGGTGGGTGGGTGTCAGGGAGAGTGTGTGGGTGGGTGGGTGGATTGCAGGCTGGGTGGGTGGGTGTCGGGGAGACTGTGTGGGTGGGTGGGTGGATTGCAGGCTGTGTGGGTGGGTGGGTGGCGGTGGAGCGTTGGTGGTGGGGGGGGGGGGTGGTGAGCAGGTGGGCGAGTGGGAGGGTGATGCTGCTGGGCCGTGTCCATCAAGCAGTGGATAGAGCGGCCGTGGTGTCAGCGTCTCCCCTCCCACCTGCAGACTCCCCACCTGGTCAACCTGAACGAGGATCCTCTCATGTCAGAGTGTCTCCTCTACTACATCAAGGGTGGCCTCACCAGGTGCTCACCCGCACGCTCACCCACTCACTCACCCACCCACTCACTCACTCACCCACTCACTCACCCACCCACTCACTCACCTACTCACCCACTCACCTACCCACTAACCCACCCACTCCCCTACTCACCCCAACCACTCACCTACTCATGCACCCACTCATGTACTCACCCACCCACTCACCCACCCACCCACTCGCTCACTCACTCACCTACCCACCCACTCATGCACTCACCCACCCACCTACTCACCCACCTACTCACCCCACCCACTCACCCACCTACTCACCCCACCCACTCACCCACCCACCCACTCACCCACCCACCCACCCACTCACCCACCCACCCACCCACTCACCCACCCACCCACTCGCTCACCTACTCACTCGCCCCAATCACCCACCCACTTACTAACCCACTCACTCATCCACCCACTCGCTCACCTACTCAATCGCCCCAATCACCCACCCACCCACTCACTCACCCACCCACCCACTCACTCACCCACTCACCCACTCACTCACCCACTCACTCACCCACTCACCCACCCACCCACTCACCCACTCACTCACCCACCCACTCACTCACCCACTCACCCACTCACTCACCCACTCACTCACTCACCCACTCACCCACCCACCCACTCATGCACTCACCCACCCACCCACCCACTCACTCACTCACTCACCCACCCACTCACTCACCCACCCACCCACCCACTCACCCACCCACCCACCCACTCACCCACTCCCCTACTCACCCCAACCACTCACTCACTCGCTCACCTACTCACTCGCCCCAATCACCCAGCCACTCACTAACCCTAACCACTCACCCGCTCACTCACTCACCTACCCACCCACTCATGCACTCACTCACCATTCCACTCACTCGCTCACTCACCTACCCACCCACTCATGCACTCACCCACCCACCCACTCGCTCACTCACTCACCTACCCACCCACTCATGCACTCACCCACCCACTCACCCGCTCATTCGCTCACTCACTCACCCACCCACCCACTCACTCACCCACTCACCTACCCACCCACTCATGCACTCACCCACCCACTCACCCGCTCAACTATCCACTCACCCACTTGCGCACACGCTCACCCGCTCAGCCACTCACCCGCCTGCTCCCAAACTCATTCACCCACTCACCTGCCCACTAACTAAACCACTGACCTACTCACCCGCTCACCCGCTCACTTGCCCACCCATTCACCCACCAACTCCTCCACCACACATCTCACTCACCCGCACAGTTAGCCGTTCACCCACTCATCAGCTCACCCAGTCACCCATCCACTCACACACTCACACACCCACTCATCCAATCACTCACTCATCCACTCACACACCCATCTCTCACCCGGTCACTCAGTCACTTACTCATCCGCTCACTCACTCCCCACTCACTCACTTACTTGCCCACTCACTCGCCCACTCACCCATCTCTCACCCTCTCACTCCTCACTCACTCACCCACTCACTCACCCACTCACTCACCCACCCACCCACTTACCCACCCACTCACCTGCTCATTCGCCCACACACTTGTCCACACACTGTGTGTGTGTGTCTGTGTGTGTCACCCTGTGTGTGTGTGTCACCCTCTGTGTGTCACTGTGTGTGTGTGTCACTGTGTGTGTGTCACTGTGTGTGTCACTGTGTGTGTGTGTGTCACTGTGTGTGTGTCACTGTGTGTGTGTGTCACTGTGTGTGTCACTGTGTGTGTGTCACTGTGTGTCACTGTGTGTGTCACTGTGTGTGTCACTGTGTGTGTGTGTCACTGTGTGTGTGTGTCACTGTGTGTGTGTGTCACTGTGTGTGTGTCACTGTGTGTGTGTCACTGTGTGTGTGTGTGTCACTGTGTGTGTGTCACTGTGCGTGTGTCACGGTGTGTGTGTCCCTGTGTGTGTGTGTGTGTCCCTGTGTGTGTGTGTGTCACTGTGTGTCACTGTGTGTGTCACTGTGTGTGTGTGTCACTGTGTGTGTGTGTCACTGTGCGTGTGTGTCACTGTGTGTGTGTCACTGTGTGTGTGTCACTGTGTGTGTCACTGTGTGTGTCACTGTGTGTGTGTCACTGTGTGTGTCACTGTGTGTGTGTCACTGTGTGTGTGTGTGTCACTGTGTGTGTGTGTCACTGTGTGTGTGTCACTGTGTGTGTGTGTCACTGTGTGTGTGTGTCACTGTGTGTGTCTCTGTGTGTGTGTCACTGTGTGTGTGTGTGTCACTGTGTGTGTGTGTGTCACTGTGTGTGTGTGTGTGTCACTGTGTGTGTGTGTGTCACTGTGTGTGTGTGTGTCACCGTGTGTGTGTGTATCACTGTGTGTGTCACTGTGTGTGTGTGTGTGTCACACTGTGTGTGTGTGTCACTGTGTGTGTGTGTCACTGTGTGTGTGTCACTGTGTGTGTGTCACTGTGTGTGTCACTGTGTGTGTGTCACTGTGTGTGTGTCACTGTGTGTGTGTGTGTCACTGTGTGTGTGTGTGTGTCACTGTGTGTGTGTGTGTCACTGTGTGTGTGTGTGTCACTGTGTGTGTGCCACTGTGTGTGTGTCACTGTGTGTGTGTCACTGTGTGTGTCACTGTGTGTGTGTCACTGTGTGTGTGTCACTGTGTGTGTGTCACTGTGTGTGTGTGTCACTGTGTGTGTGTCACTGTGTGTGTGTGTCACTGTGTGTGTCACTGTGTGTGTCACTGTGTGTGTGTCACTGTGTGTGTGTGTCACTGTGTGTGTCACTGTGTGTGTGTGTCACTGTGTGTGTGTCACTGTGTGTGTGTGTGTCACTGTGTGTGTCACTGTGTGTGTGTGTCACTGTGTGTGTGAGCAGGGTGGGGCGTGGTGATGCCACGGTGCGCCAGGACATCGTGCTGAGTGGACAGCACATCCTGGAGGAGCACTGTCTCTTCCACAGCCTCACACTGGCACATGGCACGGGTGAGTGGGTGGGTGAGTGGGTGAGTGGGTGAGTGGGTGAGTGGGTGAGTAAGTTGGTGGGTGAGTGAGTGGGTGAGTGGGTGGGTGGGTGAGTGAGTGAATGGGTGGGTTGGTGAGTGGGTGAGTGAGTGAGTGAGTGAGTGGGTGAGTGAGTGAGTGAGTTGGTGGGTGAGTGAGTGAGTGAGTGGGTGGGTGAGTGAGTGAGTGAGTGGGTGAGTGGGTGAGTGAGTGGGTGGGTGGGTGAGTGGGTGGGTGAGTGGGTGAGTGGGTGAGTGAGTGGGTGAGTGGGTGAGTGGGTGGGTGAGTGAGTGGGTGAGTGAGTGAGTGGGTGAGTGAGTGGGTGAGTGAGTGGGTGAGTGAGTGAGTGGGTGAGTGAGTGGGTGAGTGGGTGAGTGGGTGAGTGAGTGAGTGGGTGGGTGAGTGAGTGAGTGGGTGAGTGTGTGAGTGGGTGAGTGAGTGGGTGGGTGGGTGAGTGAGTGAGTGGGTGAGTGAGTGGACAGCACATCCTGGAGGAGCACTGTCTCTTCCACAGCCTCACACTGGCACATGGCACGGGTGGGTGGGTGAGTGGGTGGGTGAGTGGGTGGGTGAGTGGGTGATTGGGTGGGTGTGTGAGTGAGTGAGTGGGTGAGTGGGTGAGTGGGTGAGTGAGTGGGTGTGTGAGTGAGTGAGTGGGTGAGTGGGTGGGTGAGTGAGTGGGTGAGTGAGTGGGTGGGTGGGTGAGTGGGTGAGTGAGTGGGTGAGTGAGTGGACAGCACATCCTGGAGGAGCACTGTCTCTTCCACAGCCCCACACTGGCACATGACACGGGTGAGTGAATGAGTGGGTGAGTGAGTGGGTGAGTAAGTGGGTGGGTGGGTGAGTGGGTGGGTGAGTGAGTGGGTGTGTGAGTGAGTGAGTGAGTGGGTGAGTGAGTGGGTGAGTGGGTGAGTGGGTGAGTGGGTGAGTGGGTGAGTGGGTGAGTGTGTGAGTGGGTGAGTGAGTGGGTGGGTGGGTGGGTGGGTGGGTGAGTGAGTGAGTGAGTGGGTGGGTGGGTGAGTGAGTGGGTGGGTGGGTGGGTGAGTGAGTGGGTGGGTGGGTGGGTGGGTGGGTGAGTGAGTGAGTGAGTGAGTGGGTGAGTGAGTGGGTGAGTGAGTGGACAGCACATCCTGGAGGAGCACTGTCTCTTCCACAGCCTCACACTGGCACATGGCACGGGTGAGTGGGTGGGTGAGTGGGTGAGTGGGTGAGTGGGTGAGTGGGTGAGTAAGTTGGTGGGTGAGTGAGTGGGTGAGTGGGTGGGTGGGTGAGTGAGTGAATGGGTGGGTTGGTGAGTGGGTGAGTGAGTGGGTGAGTGAGTGAGTGGGTGAGTGAGTGAGTGAGTTGGTGGGTGAGTGAGTGAGTGAGTGGGTGGGTGAGTGAGTGAGTGAGTGGGTGAGTGGGTGAGTGAGTGGGTGGGTGGGTGAGTGGGTGGGTGAGTGGGTGAGTGGGTGAGTGAGTGGGTGAGTGGGTGAGTGGGTGGGTGAGTGAGTGGGTGAGTGAGTGAGTGGGTGAGTGGGTGAGTGAGTGGGTGAGTGAGTGAGTGGGTGAGTGAGTGGGTGAGTGGGTGAGTGGGTGAGTGAGTGAGTGGGTGGGTGAGTGAGTGAGTGGGTGAGTGTGTGAGTGGGTGAGTGAGTGGGTGGGTGGGTGAGTGAGTGAGTGGGTGAGTGAGTGGACAGCACATCCTGGAGGAGCACTGTCTCTTCCACAGCCTCACACTGGCACATGGCACGGGTGGGTGGGTGAGTGGGTGGGTGAGTGGGTGGGTGAGTGGGTGATTGGGTGGGTGTGTGAGTGAGTGAGTGGGTGAGTGGGTGAGTGGGTGAGTGAGTGGGTGTGTGAGTGAGTGAGTGGGTGAGTGGGTGGGTGGGTGAGTGGGTGGGTGAGTGGGTGGGTGGGTGAGTGGGTGAGTGAGTGGGTGAGTGAGTGGACAGCACATCCTGGAGGAGCACTGTCTCTTCCACAGCCCCACACTGGCACATGGCACGGGTGAGTGAATGAGTGGGTGAGTGAGTGGGTGAGTAAGTGGGTGGGTGGGTGAGTGGGTGGGTGAGTGAGTGGGTGTGTGAGTGAGTGAGTGAGTGGGTGAGTGAGTGGGTGAGTGGGTGAGTGGGTGAGTGGGTGAGTGGGTGAGTGGGTGAGTGTGTGAGTGGGTGAGTGAGTGGGTGGGTGGGTGGGTGGGTGAGTGAGTGAGTGAGTGGGTGGGTGGGTGAGTGAGTGGGTGGGTGGGTGGGTGAGTGAGTGGGTGGGTGGGTGGGTGGGTGAGTGAGTGAGTGAGTGGGTGAGTGAGTGGGTGAGTGAGTGGACAGCACATCCTGGAGGAGCACTGTCTCTTCCACAGCCTCACACTGGCACATGGCACGGGTGAGTGGGTGGGTGAGTGAGTGAGTGGGTGAGTGAGTGAGTGAGTGTGTGAGTGGGTGAGTGGGTGAGTGAGTGGGTGGGTGGGTGGGTGGGTGAGTGAGTGAGTGAGTGGGTGAGTGAGTGAGTGGGTGAGTGAGTGAGTGAGTGGGTGAGTAGCCTGGGGCTTACAGCTTCCCACACCTCACCGCCACGCTCCCACGCCCCCTTCATTCTTTTGTTCAAAAGGAGACCTACACTTTGGGCTCGCCTTCCCATCAACCGGAGGCGAGGAATGGTGGTCGTGGTTACTTATGCCCCCACCGAAGATGAACATCCGTGGAGGGATGCAGGCAAAGCCGATGAGTCAGATGCCTTCTATGACCTCCTGTCACAGGTGCTGGCTAAAGTGGCCCCTCGGGATAGAGTCATCATGTTGGGTGACTTCAATGCCCGAGTTGGTCATGATACTGGCACCTGGTCTGGAGTGATTGGAGGGCATGGGCCAGATCAGCTCAATAACAACGGTAGGAGGCTGCTAGATTTTGTGCAGCCCATGGGCTTGTAATTACCAACACGCTGTTCCGGCATCGGCGCATCCACACAACATCATGGATGCATGCCGGGTCCAAGCAAGAACATCTGCTGGACTACATAGTGATGGACCAGCGAATGCGAGCCCATGTCCTTGACACCAGGACCTACCGTGGAGCTGATCTGCCCTCTGACCATCGACTAGTCATCTGGGTGTACACCCAGGACCCCATTCCAACATAAAGTGGCCTGGTCTCAGTTATCTGATGAAAGTTGCAAGCGAGAATTTTATCATCGCTTGCGGCTGGGATTGGCATCGTCCCCGACTCCTCCTGATGTCGAGGGTAAATGGGCGAGGTTTAGGACTGTGACTCATGCAGCTGCAATGGCTGCTTTGGGTACGCGGTCCAGACCTCCCCAGAGACCCTGGCTGACAGAGGAGGTGTTCAGGATGGTTGAGAAAAAGCGACAGGCCCACTGTCATCGGCTACAGAATCCCACGTCAGAGAATGAGGAGGATTACCGCAGCCTTCGCTCGGAGGTTCGGAGAGCCGTGAGGCGCTGCAAGGATGGGTGGTGGTCGCGGGTTGCTGAGGAGATGGAGTCTGCCTCAGTGGCCCGTGATCACAAATCTCTATTTAACTCCATCAAAAAAGTAACCTGCAGCGCCACACCTATTACCATCATTAGGGGAAAAAACGGTGATCCAATCTCCGACCCCCAGGAACAGGTTCGCAGATTTGCTGAGCATTTCTGTGAGGTCCTGGGGGAGGGAAAATCCCTCAGCCAGGAAAACATCGTGGCACAAAGTGAGGATGACCCTGCTGAGGCTGCGGTGCCTCAAATATTGGAAGAAGTCACCCCCTGTGAGTGGCTGGCTGAGGTGCCATCTGCTGAGGAAGTATTGAAGGCGATCCGGAGTCTGAGACCAGGAAAGGCAGCGGGCAGAGATGATCTCCCAAGCGAAATGCTGAGGGAGGGTGGCGTTTGTGCACAGACTGCCCTATATGACATCATAACAACAGTCTGGACCACTGGACGGGTTCCGCGGGATTGGAAGGATGCCCTGGTGGTCCCCCTTTTTAAGAAGGGGGACCGCACAGACTGTAACAACTACAGGGGCATCTCACTCCTCAGTGTGCCGGGAAAGGTCCTGGCAAGGATTATTCAGCATCGCCTTGCCAGGCACGCTGAGGAGAGGCTTGCGGAGCCCCAATGCGGTTTCAGGAAAGGGCGGTCCTGCACAGATGCCATATTTTCTGTCCGTCTGCTACAGCAGAGGTGTAGGGAATTCCAACAAGACCTACATCTCTGCTTTATTGACCTGGTCAAGGCCTATGATACCATCAGTAGGCCTGGGCTCTGGGTCGTTCTTCGTGCTTTTGGAGTACCTGACCCTCTGCTCACGATCATTAAGGACCTTCATGATGGTGAGCGGGCCCGGGTAAAACTACGTGGCCGGGAGTCAGAGCCATTCCCTGTACACCTTGGGGTGCGACAGGGATGTCCTCTGGCTCCCACATTATTTAACATCTATTTTGACCACGTAGTTCGTGAAGCCTTCAATAGCTGTACCGGGGGAATCTCCATATGGTACAGATATAATGGGAGGCTAATCGATGCCCGGGTGCGGTCAAGGGATGGCTCCCTATTGCTCAACCACGTTATGTATGCTGATGATTTGGTAATAGCTGCTCAGTCAGAGGAGGAGTTGGAGACGCTGCTGCTGAGACTGGAGCATGCCACTAAGAGGTGGGGCCGTACCATCAGCGCCACCAAAACTAAGCACCTGCCTGGGTATTTTGTACCATCGGACACTCCACCCCCACAACTCCCAATCGGTGATGGGGCAGTTGTGGAGAGAGTGGAGAGTTTCCCATACCTGGGCAGTGTGCTTATGACTGGCTCCAGTTTAACAGCAGAGGTCTCACTCCGAATCAGTCGAGCGGCAATATCTTTTCATCGGTTACGTAACGCTGTGTGGAAGCTACCTGGTCTGTCGCTCCGCACTAAGCTTCAGGTCTTCTCGGCCACGGTCATTCCCTCCCTTCTCTACGCTTGCGAAACGTGGACCCCCCTAATGGAACATCTTCGCCGGTTAGAAACAT